AACAGGAATTTATCAGAGTCCTAGGCTTCCCTGGTGGCTCAGATAGTAAAGAATCTACCTGCAATGTGGGAGACCTGAGTTTAATCCCTGGGTTGGGAAGGTCCTCTGGAGGAGGGCATGGCAGTCCACTCCAGTATTCTTGCCTGGAGAACCCCATGGACAGAGGAGCCTGGCGGGCTACAGTTCAGGGGGTTGCAAAGAGTCAGACACGACTGAGCAGCAAAGCACATTATTTATTTGGCTGCTTTTGGTCTTAGTTGTGGCACACGGGATCTTTGTTGCAACATGAGGGATCTTCTATTGAGGTGTGCAGACTCTCTAGTTTTGGCACGTGGGCTCAGCAGTTACGGCATGTGGGCTTAGTTGCTCTGAGGCTTTTGAGATCTTAGTTCCCGACCAGGGATCAAACCCATGTCTCCTACATTGCAAGGCAAATTTTTAACCACTGGACCACTAGGGACATCCTTATTGTCATTTTTTAAATTTAATTTTATTTTAACCATTTTAATAGTGTTTAGTAGTATCTCATTTTTTTAATTTGCATTTCCTTAATGGCTAATGATTTCCATCTTTCTCTGTATTTGCCATCCTTATATCTTCTTGGTAAATTGTCTACTTAAATATTTTGCTCTTTTAAAAAGTGGTTTGAGGATTTTTTTATTTTTGATTTGACAGCTCTTTGTGAATTTTGGTTACAAGTCTTTTAATCAGATATGTGATCTACAAATAAAATTTTCCATTCTATGGCTTGTCTTTTCATTTTCTTAACAGTGTCTTTTGAAGGCAAATGTTCTTAATTTTGATGATGTCTAATTTACCAATTTATCTTTTCTTTTATGAATCATGTTTTGCTGTGGTATATAAGAAATTTTTGCCTAATCCAAAGTCTTATGTTTTCTTCTGGAAGTTTAGTAGTTTTAGGTTTTACATTTAGGCCTATGAACTGTTCTGAATAAATTCTTGTAATGTTTTGTGAGATTTGAGTTAATCATATGGATATTCAATTGTTCTAGCACCATTTGCTGCAAAAGATTATCCTCCTCCATTTAGTTGCCTTTGTATATTTGTCAAAAATATATAACACCTTTATTTAGGTGTGATAGATGATTTGCAGGCATTCTCCCCCATTCTATGGGTTGTCTTTTCACTTTCCTAGTGGTTCCTTTTGAAGCACAAGTCTTCTTAATTTTGATGAAGTGCAATTTATCTTTTCTTCTTTTATCATGTGTGCTTTTGATGTAATGTCTAAGAAATCACTGCCTAATCTTAGGTCATTAAGATGTATTCCTATGTTTTCTTCTCAAAGTTTATAGTTATAGCTTTCATATTTAGGTCTTTGGTCCATTTTGAGTTAATTTTGTATATGGTATGTGGTAGAGTCTCCTATCTCATATGGGATAGCAAGTTTGCTGAAAAGACTATTCTTTTCCCATTGAATTGTCTTGGTATCCAAGTCAAAACTCAGCAAGTCATAAACATAAGGATTTATTTCTGGACTCTCAATTCTGTTGCACTGATCTATATTTCTTTTGTTAGAACAGTACTGCACCAGTTTAATTACTGTAGCTTTATAGTAAGTATTGAACTTGAGTAGTATAAATCTTCCAACTTGGTTCATCTTCTTCAAAATTATTTTGGCTATTCTAGGTGCTCTCTCCAGGGATACTCTGTCTCATGTCTGCCAGCCTCACCAAACATGCCCCTCACCCCAAGCCCAGGTCTCCCAGAGATCTCTCCTTGCCCTGTACCCCCCTCTACTCCCTTTTGCTTGGCATGATTCAGTTTCTGCTTCCCGTTGCTGGCTCTCTGTCAGTCATGACCACTTAGCTCTTCAACTGGACTGTAAGCTTCTGTATATCCGAAGTCTTTTTTGCTTGTAACAAACTGGTTGGATTTTTCTCTGTGACGTGTTTATATAAAATGACAGTGGTAGGATTCTGGGGTGAATGGGGTTGGAGTGGGGGGTTATGAGTCATCAACCGAGTTGATAGGACTGGTGATGAGTCTGCCCCCTCCCTGGAGGCTCCTCAGGGAGGTGTCTGGGGGTGTCCAGGAGGAGCTCGAGGGGAGTCCACAGTGTCTTTCAGCCAGAACACTAGAGTCTATCGTGCAGTTGAGGACGGAGCAAGACAGAGATGGGAAAGGAAAGGTCTCTTTGTGCGTCGACTGGGGACAGACATGGTATGGGTCGTCTCCAGGGAAAGATGGAACTGCCTCCAGCCTGGAGCCTACATGGCTGTGGGCCTGAGAGCCTGGGTGGAAGTCAGGGCCACCTCAGAGGGTGGGTGAGGTGGGGAAAGCCTTCAGGTAGAAGGCAGAGCAGCGCCAAGGACAGGACTTCTACATCCAGAGAAAAAGAGGACCCTGGAAGAAGCATAGGTCATTAAGATGTATTCCTATGTTTTCTTCTCAAAGTTTATAGTTATAGCTTTCATATTTAGGTCTTTGGTCCATTTTGAGTTAATTTTGTATATGGTATGTGGTAGAGTCTCCTATCTCATATGGGATAGCAAGTTTGCTGAAAAGACTATTCTTTTCCCATTGAATTGTCTTGGTATCCAAGTCAAAACTCAGCAAGTCATAAACATAAGGATTTATTTCTGGACTCTCAATTCTGTTGCACTGATCTATATTTCTTTTGTTAGAACAGTACTGCACCAGTTTAATTACTGTAGCTTTATAGTAAGTATTGAACTTGAGTAGTATAAATCTTCCAACTTGGTTCATCTTCTTCAAAATTATTTTGGCTATTCTAGGTGCTCTCTCCAGGGATACTCTGTCTCATGTCTGCCAGCCTCACCAAACATGCCCCTCACCCCAAGCCCAGGTCTCCCAGAGATCTCTCCTTGCCCTGTACCCCCCTCTACTCCCTTTTGCTTGGCATGATTCAGTTTCTGCTTCCCGTTGCTGGCTCTCTGTCAGTCATGACCACTTAGCTCTTCAACTGGACTGTAAGCTTCTGTATATCCGAAGTCTTTTTTGCTTGTAACAAACTGGTTGGATTTTTCTCTGTGACGTGTTTATATAAAATGACAGTGGTAGGATTCTGGGGTGAATGGGGTTGGAGTGGGGGGTTATGAGTCATCAACCGAGTTGATAGGACTGGTGATGAGTCTGCCCCCTCCCTGGAGGCTCCTCAGGGAGGTGTCTGGGGGTGTCCAGGAGGAGCTCGAGGGGAGTCCACAGTGTCTTTCAGCCAGAACACTAGAGTCTATCGTGCAGTTGAGGACGGAGCAAGACAGAGATGGGAAAGGAAAGGTCTCTTTGTGCGTCGACTGGGGACAGACATGGTATGGGTCGTCTCCAGGGAAAGATGGCACTGCCTCCAGCCTGGAGCCTACATGGCTGTGGGCCTGAGAGCCTGGGTGGAAGTCAGGGCCACCTCAGAGGGTGGGTGAGGTGGGGAAAGCCTTCAGGTAGAAGGCAGAGCAGCGCCAAGGACAGGACTTCTACATCCAGAGAAAAAGAGGACCCTGGAAGAAGCGTGTGGGAGCTGCTGCCGATCACTGCCTGGCAACTGAAGTCTCAAGGGGAGGCTCTTTGGGATCCAAATGGATAAGTGAACTGGAGATCAGTGCAGGGCTCCCACTGAGGATAGGGTGGAACCACAGCAAAAGGCGCAGGCCCAGCCGCGCTCCCCTGCAGCAGTTGGGACTAAGAACTATATATTTGGAGGGAGAGACTGAAGCCTAGAAAGCTGAGCCTGTGTGGCTTCTGTCTGATGTGGCCTGAGTCAAGGGCAGGACCAGAATCCCTTCACGCGGACTACCCAGGAATTGTACCTGCCAAGAGCAGTTTTGGCCAAACACCACCTTTTGTTGTTCAGTTGCTCAGTTGTGTCAGACTCTTTGCAACCCCGTGGACCACAGCAACCCAGGAGTCCCTGTTCTTCACTATCTCCTGGAGTTTGCTCAGACTCATGTCCTTTGAGTCAGTGATGCAATCCAACCATCTCATTCTCTGTCATCCTCATTTCCTCCTGCATTCAGTCTTTCCCAGCATCAGGATCTTTTCCAATGAGTTGGCTCTTCGCATCAGGTGGCCAGAGTATTGGAGCTTCAGCTTTAGCATCAGTCCTTCCAGTGAATATTATGGGTCAATTTCCTTTAGGATTGACTGGTTTGATCTCCTTGCTGTCCAAGGGACCAGATCTGGAATGTGCTTTGCCAACTAGCTTTTGTGGGTTGTGTTGTGTTTTCCCTTATTTTTTCAGTGAGTATTGCTTTCAAAAGAACTCCAGCCTTATCTCTGTGACCTGATGACAATGGTGTCTCTCTGCACACATCTCTGACAACACAGAGATGGGTGTCTGTGTGGAGTGGGGGTGAAGGAGGATGTCCACCAACTGGTGTGTTGGGGGGAGGGTCATCAGGAGGCCCTGGTGCTGATGTAGAGAAGGAGATGAGACCTGTGTGGACCCTGATCCCCACTGGCTGGGGACCTCATCCTCCCCTCCATCCCCAGAGGACTTGACACAGTGCCGTGCATCAGCAGCTATTTGCTTCTTGGAGCTGATCCCTGGGGAATAGCCAGCTAAGGCTTCTCCATGAAAGAGCAGTCCTTTGACCTGTGTGGACCCTGTCACTCTTTCAAACAATGAAGTCCTATCCCCCTCAAGGACACTTCCTTGCAGTGGCCTTGCCACCCCAACACCCACAGCTCTGACACAGCATCCCCAGGACACCTAACCTTGTCGCCTTTGGTACTATGGACACAGCCAGGGTAATCATTCTGTGACTCAGCATCCTTAGGGCCATATTCTATTGCAGGCCAGCCAAGCTCTGGGCTCTGAGGACATCAGGGAGCCCGACTGATTGCACTTGGCTTCTCCCAGTAGTTGGCTGTAGGTGGGAGCCCTTGGCATCTGTTTGCTGGCAACTAGATGTGTGTTTGCTATAGTGGGACCTGGGGGCTCTGAGCCCTGGGAGTGGGAGGGTCGTGGTTGGGGCGCCAGTGCCTGCTCCAGGCCTCAGCTCATGTCCTCATCTCTCCCTCTGCAGCTCGTCTCCAATGTCCTCATTTTCTCCTGCACCAACATCGTGGGTGTGTGCACCCACTACCCGGCTGAGGTCTCGCAGAGACAGGCCTTCCAGGAGACCCGGGAGTGCATCCAGGCGCGGCTCCACTCGCAGCGGGAGAACCAGCAGCAGGTGGGTGAGGCCCTCCTGCCCCGCGCGGCTGCCCAGCTGCTGCCTGCCCGCCAGCGATGCTCAGGGCAGCTGTCCAGCCCCTCCTGGGCGGGGGCCCAGGCCGTGGGGGATGTTTCCTCTGGAGGGTGCCCAGCGTTCTTGGCTCTGTGGGAATGCTCTCAAGAAGCTTTGGAGAATGAGCTTTGGGCTGAAGCTTTGGGCTGAGAGTGCCTCCTCAGCCTCCTTGTGGTTTGCACTCAAACCGAGCACCCAGGCCCTGGGAGGCAGGAAGCAGCCCTCCCTCCTGCCCCCAGGGCTGATGAACTGGGTGATGAGAGCATCAGCATTCCCTCCTGGGATGAAGGTGCTCCCTGGGGAAGGGGAGGGAGGACGAGAGAAGCTGTCAGCCCCGTGATGCCCTCACTAGGCACTTCCTGTGTGCTGAGTTCTGGGGTCTGGTTAGTTCGAGAAAGGAAGACGACCATGTCTCACCCTAAACCTCAGCCTCAGGACTCCAGGGCCAGGAGGCAGGTCACTCATGTGGGCCACAGACTCAGGGGCTCCTCTCCGTGAGCCCCAGGCAGAGGGACCTGCCCCCCTGTGCCCCTCTGGCTGAGGGTGGGGCGGGGACTGAGGACTTGTCAGGGTTCCCTGCCTAGCATCCTGGGGGCGTCCTGTTCGGTGTTCAGCTCTGGCCAGGTCACCCCTGTGTCTTTTCGTGTGTGTGAACTGGATAGAAGCTTGGAACTCTGAGGCTGCACAGGGTCCACTGCTCCCAAACAGCAGGCCTGGAGGGAGGCCTGGGGGCAGGTGCTGGGGCTGCCACTGGGCTGGGACTCATCCTGGCTCTCAGAGGTAAGGTCACTACCCAGGCCGGAGGGGCCTTGCTCTGTTCTTAGGCTGGCGGCCCCCCACAGCCTGCCCAGAAGCTGGCGGAGCTCTGTTCTATGCTGCGCACCATGTCGGGCGGGTGTAAACATGGAAGGTCCGCCTTTGATCGAGAGGACAGGGAGCCAGACGCCTGGCCAGCAGCGCAGGAGTCACGTGCGCCCTCCTGCCTGGGTGCTCCATGGGCCCCCCACGAGCTCAGTCCCCACGAGTGCAGCGTTCATCACAGTGTGAGGCACCCCTCTGCCTCTGTCTGGGTTCAGTCTAGGGACTTACAGTGACCTGGCTGGTGACATTCAGACAGCTGAGCCAGGGGGCAGAGTTCCGCGGTATCTCTCCAGGCCCCCCACCCCAGTCATCACCTGCCCCCGCTTCCCTTCCAGCCCTGCGCCTGGCCGCTGTGCCTGGCCAGGCCCCCAGCTCAGGCTGTCCCAGCTGAGGCCTGGCCTTCCCGTTCGTTCTCTTGGTCCCATCTAGGCTCCCGGCCAGCTCTTCAATGAAACTCATGCCCAGGGGTGTCCCTGAGTCTTCCCACTGTCTCTTCTTGACACAGCTACCTCACTTCTGCACCCTGCTCACCCCCAAACCCCTGTCTGCCTCAAAAGCCCCTTCTCTCATGCCCGTATCAGGCCCCAGCATCACTTACCTGAGATCAGGATACCTTCCTGTCCCTTCTGGGTTAGGGAGTGCCTCCCGCACCCCTGCCCTCCCACTCCTGGACCTTACCCTTTTGCAGTAAAATTAGCATTTATAGCATTTACAGTTCATCACAGTTTACTTGTGCTGGCCCTGGCCAGGCTGGACATTCCAGCAAATCCACAGGGATCTTGGTGGGGGGGAGGGGAATATGTTCACCATACCATGTTTCAGGTCAGGGAGGGGAGGCCTGCTTCCAGGGGACAGGCACTCCTCACCCAGCCACGGCCCAGAGTCCGGCCTCCTCTGCCCTCTGCAGAAAGGGGTGCTCTTAGATCCGAGGATGCTCCTCAGTGCCACCTGATGAGGGGATCCAGCACTGTTCCCCACCCATCCCCTGCGCACTCCTCCTGGTCCTCAGCCCAAGAACTAGTTGGAAATGTAGGAAGGTCTCTCATGAATCTAAACAATTTGTTGCACACTTTCTCCCAGTCATTCTATTTTTCCACACAATTGTCCTTTCATTTGTATTTTTATCACCAGTAGCTGTTTATGGAGCGTTCAGTGAATAAGAGATGGCCTGTAATGGCCGTGTCCACTGATGGAGGTCCTGACTGGAGGTCAGGCCGGTCCACAGAGAGCACCATTCCTCACTAGTTTACCAGAGCTTCCTGAGCATAAGATTATCTGCTCTAAGCCCAACAAGACACATTCCCACCCTCAGGAAGCCCCAGTGACAGGCTGAAATGCAGAGTAATGGGGGACTCTACAGGAAGGCCCAGGGTGGCAAGGGAGGCTGGCAGCTGGAGCCAGGACCCTCCTTCTGGGAAGGGGGTGAGCCCAAGGAGGGGTAGCAACATGTGTGAGGATGGTGATTCTAGCTGAGGTGCAAGGCCTTGACCTTGGTGACCCGGAGAATGGAAGTGCCGTGGGCAAAGGCAGGGGACTTGAGAAGAGCCACCGGGAGGGTGAGCGTGGTGTGGGCCTGAGGTCAGGTGCTGGTGGCAAGGTATCAGGCGGGCAGCTGAAGACTTGGGGACCTGGCCCAGGGAGTGGCTTGGGAGGTGACCAGGGGAGGTACTGGAAGTCTTGCTCCCTGAGGCCAGGAGTGAGCAGGAGGAGGACAGAGGTGGGGCAGGAAGGAGGGAGGGGAACTACACAGGTGCAGGAGCAGAAGTCTTAGAAGGTCAGGCCGGTCCACAGAGAGCACCATTCCTCACTAGTTTACCAGAGCTTCCTGAGCATAAGACTATCTGCTCTAAGCCCAACAAGACACATTCCCACCCTCAGGAGGCCCCAGTGACAGGCTGAAATGCAGAGTAATGGGGGACTCTACAGGAAGGCCCAGGGTGGCAAGGGAGGCTGGCAGCTGGAGCCAGGACCCTCCTTCTGGGAAGGGGGTGAGCCCAAGGAGGGGTAGCAACATGTGTGAGGATGGTGATTCTAGCTGAGGAGCAAGGCCTTGACCTTGGTGACCCGGAGAATGGAAGTGCCGTGGGCAAAGGCAGGGGACTTGAGAAGAGCCACCGGGAGGGTGAGCGTGGTGTGGGCCTGAGGTCAGGTGCTGGTGGCAAGGTATCAGGCGGGCAGCTGAAGACTTGGGGACCTGGCCCAGGGAGTGGCTTGGGAGGTGACCAGGGGAGGTACTGGAAGTCTTGCTCCCTGAGGCCAGGAGTGAGCAGGAGGAGGACAGAGGTGGGGCAGGAAGGAGGGAGGGGAACTACACAGGTGCAGGAGCAGAAGTCTTAGGGCCTCGGGAAGGAGTGGCCAGCTTCCGGTGCTGGGGGATGGGAAGGAAGATGGAGGGGCTGCGGGCAGCCAGGAGGAAAGGCTCCAGATGAGAGGATTCGTGAGTGAGCCTGGCAGAGCGTCTGGCATGGGGGGAGGCTGCAGAGGATGCAGGTGGAGGCTGCATACCCTGGGGGCAGCTGAACCTCTCGGAGCAGGCAGGGCCCAGAGAACTCAGAGAGGAGGCCACATCCAGACTCCATCAAGGGCTGACGTGACCCTCCCCCACTTCCTACGGTGGCCCTGGCCCTTCTCCCTGCTTCCCTCCAATTTCCCCTTCAGCTGATCTTAATTTCCCAGTTTCTCAAGTCAGGGAGCTTTCCCATCCTCCTGGGCCAGCATCCCGTGAAAATGGAGCGCGTCATCCTCCGGTCCCCACGAAGTCTTCTGTAACCACCCCACTTCTCCCTAGCCTCAGACAGGTCCCCCTGCTCTGTGCCCCATAGGACCTGTAATGCATGAGACTAGGAATTTGTGAAGGGGGAACCTGGCCTGTCTCCTTCACAGTTATCACTCCTGGCACCCAGCATGATGCCTGGAACATGGTCAGTTCGCAGTGAATATTTGATGACTGAATGAATCTAATCTAAAGCTCCAACACCCCTACCCCCATTTATATAAGCAACTGGAGGCTCAGAGAAGTTCAGTTCTTTGCCCAAGGTCTCTGACCCAAGGTGCTTAGTATTACAGGCTCACCAGGAGTGCTTTTCCCCGTGTAACCGAAGAACCAGGAGGTGTCCCAGGGAGATGGGGGCCAGGTGGCCCTGAGGCATGTCTCTGCCCCCAGCATGTGCAAGTGTTAGCCCCCTGCATTTGAGGAGAGCCTGAGAGGTTTTCCAGGGCCCTGCAGTGGGGACACAGGTGTGAAGGAGTGAAGCCTGGGGAGGGGAAGGGACTGCCAAGTTGGGGAGAGGCTATGATGAAAGCATCTGGTTCCCCTCCAGGAGCGGCTCCTGCTGTCTGTCCTTCCCCGTCACGTCGCCATGGAGATGAAAGCAGACATCAATGCCAAACAGGAGGATATGATGTTCCATAAGATTTACATCCAGAAACATGACAACGTGAGGTAGGGGCGAGGCTGGGGGGTGAGGGCAGGGTGGGAAGACTGAATCCCATAGGAGGTGGCATGTCCCTTCCCTTCACTTCAAGAGGGCACACCCAACCAGGAGGTCTGGTGGCTTTGGAATGTGTGTTGTCTGGGGCACCCCAGCCCTGCCCCTCTAGGTCTGTTAAGTGAATTAGTACTGTGGGGAGGAGGTGAGGCTGTAGGAAGGAGGAGAAAGGAGAAAACAACACCACCAGCTGTTGGAGAAACCCCTTAGCCTAACAAGGGAGGCAGAAAGCACAGACTTGGGACCTCAGTGTCACCATCATCATCTCAATCTCCACCAGCATCCGGCATCTCTGGCAACCTCCATGCTTTCTAAGCCAGTGTGTGCCAGGCACTGCACCAGGCGTTATCCACCTCGTTGCTCATCCTGTCAGGAGACTGACAACCCTTCAGGGTGGGGACCCTTATCAGCATCCTCTGTTTAAAGAATGAGCTCAGAGTGGCTGAGACCCTTGCCCAAGGTCACTTGGCAGGGAGCGATAGAGCAGGGTGCACTGAGATCGCCCCTCCCTGCCAAAGCCCATGTTCCTTTTACTGCCTGCTTGCTGCTTCCCTAGACAGAAGCGCTGACAGCAGGGACATGCAAACAGATGTAGATTAATAGAGTGCAAAATCTGCTTCTGCGTTCCACGGGGACATGAAGTGATACAGTGGCCTTCATCCAGCATGGCTTCCTGGAGAGTCTGCTAATCCTCCCATATGCCCAGAAAAGGAGCTGCTGTGTTTGCCTTTGGGCAGGTTCTTCCCTCCCTGCATGAGTTTTCCTAGTCCTTGAAGGCTGACACAAAGACAACCTTCTGGAGCTTTGGGCTGAATTTTCAATAAAGGGGTTAAATAAAATAATCAAACCATTGTGCATGGATAAACACACAAACACACACTAATATGTATCCATAGAGTCAGATGAGGCTGATGGTGGGATGGGGAGTAGGCATGTGTTGTCCTGTGGAGTGGGCAGAACTTCGCAGTTCCCAGTGTGCCCCAAGACTGACCGTCCTCCCGGTGTGTCCTCCATCCACCTCCCAAAACAGATCTGAAGCCTTTGGAAGGAAAAAGTACATGCAGACCATATTTGTCCTCAGTTTTCAAAGTATCCCACCCCCTCTGACGCCCATCCACACTTCACCTTCAGGCAGGGAGATCGTGGCCAGCGGCAGCCTTGGACTCTCAGGGAAGAAAGCCACCCTGGCTGAGTCTCCACGCCCAGGAGGTGTCCTGAGGGGCTGTGGGCTCAGGTGTGCTCCGTTCAACATGATGGTGGGGTCCAGGCCTTGAAAGGTGGTGCTGATTTGAGGGTTTCTCTGCTCATCTCCTCATACCTGTCTCTGTCCTCATGTGGTAGGGTAATCACTAACAACAGCTAATACCTGTACAGAGTTTTCATTAACCGAAGCATTGTTCTAAGCACTTTTGTATATTCACTTAATCCCCACAACAAATATAAGATGTTGGTACTATTATTATCTCCTTTTAACAGGTAAATAAATAGGCACAGAGATGAACTTGTCCAAGATCCATAACAGTTAAGTGAGGGAATTGCCCCCAGAAAGCTTTTTGATATTGAAGTTTCCACCTGGCCCAACTACTAGACAGATGTTTTGTATCCGCCCAGCAGGAGGGGTTTGTATAATGGTTCTGTGGGAAGGAGGCCTGGGGAGCCCTCAGGAGGGAGGGTACTCGGAGAAGAGGAGGAGAGAAGTTTGGCCAGAGGAGAGGTTTTCCACCTGCGTGTGTATGACTGAGGAGCCAGAGGGGCCTTTCCTGCCTGATGGCTACCCCTCAAATGTGGGGGTCCCCACCTTAGGACAGGTAAAGAAACAGCCTTCGCTATCAGAACAAGTCCCAGAGACCCAAGGTTCAGGGGGTAAGGGGTAACCCACCAAGCATTCCAACACATACAAACCCCTGAGCTCCTCTGGAATTTTCTCTCTTGGTCCTGTCTTCACCATCCCGCTGGTCCCAGCATGGCTCTGTTCCAGGCAGAGCATGGACAAAGGGTGCTTTTTTTGACTTCTCTTAGCACAGCAGAGCGTTCAGCAGATTTACTAAACTGTAAAGTGGAACACAAAGGAAATCCAGAAAATTCTTTGCCCAGAAACAGTCTGGCATTCAAGGCACAGAGTCTCAGCCTGGCCTGGCTGCCATGGCTTTCACACCTGACCACCTCTGCATCTCTGCCCAGCACTTTGCCCGCTCACCCCTCTGTCCTCCCACGTGGAGGGGCAATTTCTTACTTCCCACCCCTCTTGCTGGCTCTTGGGCCCCCAGCCCTCCAGCAAGAGGCTTTGGTCAGAGAGGCTGACTCAGGCCTCTTCCACAGGGACTGCCCCATGGAGTGGCCCACCCTCTGCGGAGCACCCCCGCCCCCTCCACTCCCAGAGGCCGTGACTCTGGGTCAATGCAGGAGTCCCAGAGTGGCGAGAGCATCTGCATGGCAAGAATCAGAATCAGACCCCAGCCACACGGGGGGTGGTGTCTCTTCTAGAATGTACTCAGGATCAATGACAGCAATCAGGAAAGAGATGAAAGGAGAGAAAAGCTAAGAGGCCATCATTTTCACGGCAACAGACATAAGTCTGGCTCTGAAACTGCCGGGGCCAGGGGTGGCTGGTACACATCAGAGGCCAGCCGCAAGCAATCATATGCAAATATCCCACTGGCCCCCTTCCCTGTTTCAGCAGCCGCTGCCCAGTGCAGCTCTTGGGGGGAAACATGTTGCTTGCTCTGTTTGGCCTCTGGTTTGGGGCTGAACCTTTGGCTTTGGTTAGGGGTTGAGTAGTAGGTGGAGGAATGGCTTTATGGTATAGGAATGCATGTTGGGGCTTGGTTTATGGTCCAGTGATTGGCCCTAGGGGCCGAACTAAACTGCCCTTCATGTCATTACAGCCCTGCTGTGACCAGGGCAAGTTACAGCATTGAGACACTCTGAACCTCAGTTTCTTCCTCTGTGTAGTAGGACAGAATGGTTGTTAAAGAGTAAATGAAATAATACGAGGAAAGCACTTAGCACACTCTCTGGCACAGAATGAGTGTTCAGTAATTGGGAGCAGCTATTATTGTTGTTACTGTTATTATTATGATTATGATCACACTCCTATCAACAAAGAACGGTCTGGGGATTCTGGAGCTGGAGTGGAAAGGTGATAAGTCACATTCATCAATTCTCTGTGGAGTTGTAATGTTTAGAAAGGGCGATGACATGCTGTTCTCTAACCCCACCAAGAGCAAGGCCACAAGAATAAATAAATCAACTGTGCGGTGTGACAGTTTGGGCCTGGACCTAAGGGAGGGAAGAGACTAATGGGTGGCCGGAGAGTTTGGCCCTGGCAGAGAAGGGTGACAGATGGGCTCCCATCACTTTCCATGGCCTCATTCTCCCTTGGGCCTGAGGAGGATCCTTTTATCGCATCCAATTCCTGGGGTTCTGGGGAGGCCTGTTGGATGTGCTAGTCCTGTGGATTGAGGCTGGTCAGAGGCCACGGAACCCTCAAGACCCCTGTGGAGTCCCCAGATGCTTCTCACCTCTGATGTATGGTAACAGGTGGAGATACCTCTGCCACTCTTACTGGACAGGCCAGCTGGGGCTGGGGCCATGGCTGGGTTCAGACCTGCGGCTTCAGAGCCCTCCTGCTGCAGCCACAGTGCCAGGGTCAGTGGAGGGCCATGCTGTCCTCACTCCTGGGACAAGGGCCTCCAGATCATGCCAGTGGAGGCTGCTCGTGCCTGGGAGCCCCTGGTGCTCTGCTTTGGGAGGAGGAGATGGAGACTGGAGGAAGAGGCACCTAGAGGAGGTACCACTTGGGGAAGCAGAATGAGGGTGCTGATGCAGCCAGAACTGGGATGCAGCCGGGTTACCTTTGCCAAGAGGTCACTGCTGTGGAGGAAGAAGAGCATCTGTGTTGAGCAGGCTAGTTCATAACCCCCCTGCCCCTTGGGAGCTGTGGGGACTTGGGCAGGTCACCGAGTCTCAGCCTCAGTTTCTTCATCTGTGACATGGGCATGATGATGTCCACCCACTCATCCATTCAGCAGAGGTTTCATCTCTATCTCCTTGCTGGGAACCGCTGACTGTGCTCTCAGACACTCAGCTAGAGGCAGGAGCCATGGTGGGAACTGAGGGGGACTCTGGCTCTGTCATCAGGAAGCTCCCCTTCCGTTTGGGAGGACACACAAACAACAGAGAGTGAACTGGAGACATATCACATGGGGAGTGGAGCTACTGAGCTGACACACAGACTTTGCCTTCTGGCGGAGTACAACGCTAGACAACCCACCTCTCAGCCACTGAGGAGCAGAGTCTGTAAGAGGGGGCCTGGGGCTTTGCAAGGGTGCTGGGAGGGTAGAGGAGGTGCAGGGTGTAAAGCCCCGGGCCCTGGAATGGGCTGCAATGTCTGCCCTGCAGAGGCAGAGCAGGCTCCCGTGTGTGGAAGAGGGTGTTAGCTCACTAGCTTGAATGAGAGTCTCATTCTCAGAGACCCAGGAGCCCTGTGGGGCTGGAGTTGGGGGTCCTGGCAGAGGGTTGCTGACCCAGGATGGAGGTGGAAGTGAGTAACGCCTCCTCACTATGCAGTGGGGGTGCAGCAGGATCTGGGGAGGGCTGCTTTTACCTCAGCCCTTCCCGCTCCCTTTCCTTCTCTCCCCGTCTATCCCCAACCTCCCCCTTTTAAGGTTATCGTCTCCTCTCCCATCTCCTTCAAGGACTTGGCTGCGTCCCCAGGTCGCTCTGGCGTCTGGCTCCACTACAGCATGGTTCTGAATTATAATGACCACGAGACAATGTCTGTGATGCTCAGATACCCATGGGTGGACTGTACACCCTGTGGGCAGAGAGGGGAAATGTTTACTTCCCCAAGTCCCTAGCCAGTGTACAGACAGAAGTGTGGTCTACAAACATACAGGTTTCCTGTCTCCAATCTGATATTAAGAAAAGTATTCTTTCTTGTAATGTGCATGCG